TTTATTAAAAGAAAATAAAGAATCTACAAAATTAATCTAAGGAAAGGAAAAGGTGCCTATGCTAGACTTATTGGGGAAAGGAAAAAAAATGAAAAAAGAAATAGAAAAAGAGGCCATGAAATCTTGTCGTTGCAACTCGCCTCTTGTCTTGTGTCATTTGCTTCATCATCACCCAGTCTTCTCGCTAGCTAGAGGCAATGGGACCTTGTTTGCTTCTATGAGGTCTTGAATGAGATTTTAAAACCTGTAGCATTCATCAGTGGTATGACCGTTTCCTCGATGGTACTTGCAATAGGAATTTGGATTCCATCTCGAAGATCGATTTTCTGGTGTTGGATCCTCGGTAGGGCCAATAGGTTTGATTAATCCTCGATCATAGAGACGATCGAAAGCAGCATCGTAGGTCATTCCAATGGATGTGAACTCTCGCTTGGGTTTCCTTTTAGATCCTTGATTTTCCATGGCTAAGACATCATTATGGTCAAAGGTACTAACATTATTACTAGAGTGGGCGTTTTTGGAAGAAGAAGGATTGTCGCTCTTCTTTCCTTTCCAGCCACCGTGATTGCTATTGTTAGTAGCCTTTTTCTTTGCGAGGTCATCTTCGATCTCGATACCTATGTCATAGACGGCCTTGAAAGTATTCAAGTTGTGTTGATATTTTAAGTGCTTTGAATACTTTTCTTGGAGATTCTTGATAAACATTCTCACGGATTCTTTTTCAGTGGGGACCTCAATCATCTTGGCGGAAGTTTCCCTCCACTTATTAAAGAAAGAAGTAAAGCCTTCATTCTCTTTTTGTCTTCGCATCTCAAGTTTTCTATGGTCGGTTTCAACTTGGATATTGCACTTGTACCTATCAACGAAAGTGTTCACTATTGATTCCCAGTTAGAGGTTTTTTCCTTGTCAAGGGAGAAAAACCATTGTTGGCAAACAGTTTCAAGAGATAGTGGGAACAGAGAGGGAAAAACCTTCTTATCGATACCCTTAATGTTCATTATTGTTTCGAAAGCTCTAAAAAATGGAAGTAAGGGTTATTTGTTGCCTTGAATTTTGGGATGTCAGTGGCGTTGAACTTATGTGGAAGAAGTTTCTTGTCCAGCAAGACCCCTTGTGAACTCATGCCCTGGAATTTATAGCCACTAGATAGCTTGCTGAGACTCTCTTGCATGAGGTTCATCTGTTGTTGCTTTACGGGGTCATCGACCCTAAGTGCGAGAAGTTTCAGTGTCTCAGTCACAGTAGCCAATTGGTTCTTAAGATCATTGACTTCTTCTTGAGTTGCCATTATCTTCTTAGCCTTCCTCCTTTGGCGAATCGGTTTATCAAAAAACGAGACTTGAATAAAGAGGTTGTTCTTGATTAATCGCCCTTCTCTCCTCGGCCAAGTACTGTGGAAAAGGAATTTGGGGATACTTATTGTTAATTATTGACTCAAACTTTATTCAACATGCAATGGATGGAGGAAATGAAGAAAAATTGGAATAAAATCTGAAAGAAGATTTAGATGGAGGGATATGAAGAATTAGGAATAGAATGTACCCCCCAACTCAAATGACGGAAAGACCGACTCATGCATGGACCTACGACATGGTCATGGTGATGTGTATTCAAAGTGTGTGCTAAGATTAGTGAGTGTAGGTGACATATTAAGACTCATGTCATGACCATGTGGCTAGACTATGTGACCAAGACTCAATTAATGACTTGACAAGGTGTTAATGACAGCGAAAATTAACCGAATTAATTAGCAAAATGGTTAATTAGACCCTAGGTGATGACTCGACCAATAATCCGAACTGTCGGCCAAGCGACAGGACTGGCGTCACACACTAGTAGAAAAAAAAGCATTAGGCACCCCCCATGTGGAGCTTGGCGCCAGACAACATAGCTGTCGCCAGGCGCTACACACCATAGTGTGGCGCTACAGCTCAGACCTAGGCGCCAATAGTGGAGCTTCGGTCTGGGACTGTTTTCGGTATTATTAGTCAACTGGGGTATGCCTAAAGTCGTGCTAGGTCAATTCCAATTGAAAAATTAGACTTTATTGACTCAAATTAATTAATTAATTAATTAATTAATTAGGCAAAGTTCTTTAAGTCATTAATTTATTTATTCTCAACACAAATCAACAAACTGTTAAGAGAAACATAGAATATATATGCACAACAAATAATGCACAATAAGTCAAGTAGGCACAATATGATGCAATGAGTTCACAACCTAACCATGGCTCTAGTTCTCTAAAGTTCGGGATATGGTTTAGTCAAAGAGGGTCCATGGTTAATTTTCCGGATGCACCGCGCGGAAGCCTAACCGTGAAGGGTTGGCGCGAGTGGATGGGACACCGCGAGTTTTAGAAAAAACTCGCTTCCATGGTTTGGTGAATTCAACAATCTCGGATGTACCCTTTGTTGCACGGAGCGTTCAATCGGGTAGATGGAGCATGAATTCCCAGAGGGTTATGTCCATATGTAGAACACATATGGGTTTCAGAAAAGTGAGGAAAAATTCAATCAGGAAGTAGGATCGAGCAAAAAATACGAAAAACCGGTCGAAATTAGAACGCATATCTATGGCTCGGTATTGGGGGAAATTGGCGCCAGCAATCAGAGACTGGCGCCAGCTTTTAACTGTAGCGCCTGGCGCCAATACTGGCGTCTGGCGCTACGACTAAAATGCTGGCGCCAAGCTCTGGCTCCTGACGCTACTTCCCACATGCCTCAGCAGCTTTCTGTGCTCGATAAAATCTTTCGGTTTCGCGCGGTGTTATTTCAGTCCTAGTTGTGAAGGACATTCCTCAAATTTCCTACGTGTAAAATCCTATGTTTTTTACTCATTACGGATGGTCTTTCCAATGAGATCCTTTTTATGCATATGACAATAATGTTAATCAAAATTACGCACATGAAATACTTAGAACTTTTCGAGTCTCATCCACTCATTCTAAATCATTGCCGAAACAAATTCAGGAATTAAAATAGAAATCCTCCCCAGTGGAGTCGCCAAAAACTGTAGGGAATAATTTTAAGCCTTTAAATCCCACTAGCTTAAACCCCACTGTGATCATACACTAAAGTACGGTGGCGTCCAAAAGGAAGAAGATAGAGCAAAAGAGTCGCCAACAAGTTTTTTAAGGAACTTATAAACCGTTCACGAGGTGAAGGTTACACCCCTTAACGATCCAAGAGATCGTCAACTCCATAAGGTCTAGAACCAAATAAGGGTTCGGGGATGATGGTACAAATCCAACCTAAAAGAGATTGAACCTGCCCTAATAATAGGCCTCTACTTTATTCTGATCGTATTCATGTGCGCTTTTTAATTAACATGCAATCATTAGATTAACCCTAAACCTGTTTAATCTATGTTGGTTGAATATTAATGCACAAACAAATCTATTATTGGCGATCACTTGAATTATAATCACAGTTAACCTAACAAGATTATTAATTATCTTATTAAGCGTGATTACAAGTACAAATTCCCTTTAACATGCATAAAGGTGATCAAGCAATAAATATAAATCAAGCGACAAAGAATAAATAATCATAACAATAATTATAATCGCTATCAAAATAATAATAATAATAATATTCATAATCATCATAAATTATAACAATTATAATCACAATCATGTTCATGTTAATATTAAAGCATAATAAAAGCAAGATCCTAGGCATGATACTAACAAGATTAATAACAAACCCTAGCATGTCACTAAGTAATAAAAATCAAATCTTTAACCCTAACATGATACTAACAATCATAAATATTAGGAAGAACATAGGAAGCATCGTACTTTTAATCATACTTAATATTAAAGTTACCCTAGACATGATACTAGGAATCAAAATAACAATCTAAGCATGATTTCTACATCATAATATCAATTAAACCATTAAAGTACTTACTTTGACGCTTCGTACCTCTTTCTAATAACAAAATACACACGTTAGTAACTTCAAGGAAAATAATAATCAAAGCAATTAAATTAAATAATTGAAAGAGAGATTTGGGACCAAACCCTCAGAAATTAAAACCTTTCACGTCTAGGGCGAAGGCAACTTTGAATATGGCTAGGTGTTTCTAGCTCTTGTGAATGCGGAATTTTGTATGAAAGCACAAAGTTTAGAAGAAGAAAGAAAGAAAGATGAAAGAGATGAAACTTGTGAATGAGGATAATTGGTGAATTGAAATAAGAATTGATGAAATCTCATTATCGAAAACGGAGTTTTAATACCTTATTTATAGAGAAAATCAGCCAAAAAAGATAAAATTAACAAAACAGAGTCTGACGCACGCAAAACAAGGTTGGCGCCAACCCTGGCTAGCTGGCGCCAGGCACCTACGGCTAGCGTCAGGCGCCAATGGCTAGCGTCTGGCGCCAAGGCCTGGTTCCAGGCGCCAAGGCCTGGGGTTGGACGCCAGTCTTGATTTTAACGCGTTTTCGAAAATCCGATAAATTTACCGTAGTGGAGGATAAAATAATATAATTCCTTCGAAAATGCTATTTGATTTTGATTAAAACTCTGAAAAGTCAACAAAGTCAACTTATCAATGCTAATTGAATTAGGAATGAAAAGAACCTTCTAGAAGATTCTAGAAGACTAAAACCATTCCTAATTGCATTAGGAATGATAAAGCATATTAGGCCCTCCCCTAGATCATTGGGCCGCACATAAGGCTCAAACCGGGCCTAGTTTGGTAAATTGGTCATAACTTCCTCAATATTCATCGGAATTGGGCTTATAATATATCATTGGAAAGGTCTTTGCAAGCCCCATGCAACTAAACTACTATTGGACCCATATCATGGACCAACCCAACTGGATTGGCTGCTTTCTTAAAATAAAGTTTTCAAAAACAGAGCGAAAAGAAAAGAAATTAAAACTTTCCGCAACACTAGACCTTTCCATACTTTCATTTCATTCGATTATGATTCGACGTGAAAGGTACTCATTACTGGGTTTGGTTTTGGGGAGACACAAATGGGTGTCTACAGCCGCTTAGACACTCGGTGATTGTACGCCCTTGTCATCCGTAGACGATAGATTTCGTGTCTAAGTGTCGCGTTGCCCCTAGCTTCAGGAAGGAAATCTAGGGCAGTCTTTATGGCTTCCCAATTGGCCGCTTCATCATATAGCATTACCCTAAGGGTGGGCTCATACATTTCAATTGGAAGGTCCACCTCGGCACCATAGACTAAGAAGAAGGGAGTTTCTCCTGTGGAACTCTTGGCCGTGGTTCGTATGGACCACAGCACATTAACTAACTCGTCAGCCCATAAGTCGCCTGATCTTTCAAGCTTGCGCTTAATTCCATTGGAGATCAATTTGTTGTATGCCTCTACCTGACCATTTGCTTGTGGACGGCCGACTGAAGCAAAGCAATGAGCTATGCCTTGGTCTTCCAACCATTCTTTTAGTTGAGGCGTTTCAAAGTGAGGTCCGTTGTCAAACACCATAGGCTGTGGAACGCCAAAGCGTGTAATGATACTCTTCCATATGAAAGCTGAAACATCCGTCCATTTGATGCCCCGGACGGCCTCGGCCTCTACCCATTTTTTGAAGTAGTCTACTGCTACAAACACATATCGCCTCTAGCCGGACGCTGGTGTGTACGGACCTAAAATGTCCATCCCCCATTTGGCAAAGGGGAACGGACTGCTGATGGCCGAAATATTGTTGGCGGGCCGGTGAATTAATGTTGCGAACCTCTGGCACTTGTCACACTTCTTTACCATTTCCATTGCGTCCGACTTTAAGCTCGGCCAGTAGTAACCTAGGCGGGCAGCCTTTTCAGCCAAAGCGCGTCCTCCAATGTGAGAACCACACTGCCCCTAGTGAAGATCATCTAAGACATCATGCCCTCTCTCAGGAGTGATGCATTTCAGGTACGGCCTTACAAATGCCTTTTTGAACAACTCTCCTTGCTTAATTTCAAACCAGGCCGCTCTCTTTTTCATCAGCCAACTCTCTTTAGGATCGGCCGGGAATAATCCATCCTTTAGGTAAGATATGATCCCGTCCATCCAAGTGGAGCTTCTATCAATGGCGTGTACTGTTTCAGCGTCAATACTCCTCTTTTCTTTCACTTCCCAAAACACTGAACTGGGAGTATCACATGATGTTGAGGATGTTAACTTAGAGAGTGCGTCCGCCTGATGATTGGACGAACGAGGGACCTGCTGTAGAGTAAAATGATCTAGGCTCTCGGCCTCCTCTTTTACAATCTTCAAGTACTTTATCATGGCCGGCTCCCTCGCCTCAAAGTCTCCATTCACCTGGCCGACTACAAGTAGGGAGTCCGAACATACATCAATTTTTGTCGCTCCTGCCGCCTTACACATTCTAAGGCCGGCCAAGAGGGCTTTGTACTCGGCCTCATTAATAGAGGCTTGAAACTGGAATCTCAGAGCATATTCAAACTTGTCTCCCTCATGAGACTGACATATAACACCTGCACCACAGCCAGTAGCTGTCGCACTACCATCCACGAACACTTTCCAGATCTGATCGACGGCCGTCTGAAGATCCGGTCGAGTCATTTCAGCTAAAAAATCAGCAAAGGCTTGGCCCTTAATTGCTTTTCTTGGCTCAAATGCAATGTCAAAGCCTCTCATTTCCAAGTCCCATTTAAGCATACGGCCGCTTGCCTCTAAAGTTGTAAATGGCTTCTTCAGAGGTTGGTCTGTGTAGACCACAATTGAATGTGCCAAGAAGTATGGCCGCAGCTTTTTTGACACCATGTATAATGCCAAGCCAAATTTTTCAATAGGGGGATACCTTAACTCGGCGTTATGAAGTACGTGGCTGATAAAGTAGACAGGGATCTGGCGACCGTCCCGTTCAGCAAGTAGGACGACACTTAAGGAGTGTTCTGAGATGGCAAGATAAATAAATAGCTTCTCGCTCTTAAGTGGACTGACAAGCCAAGGCAATGTATGTAGATGGCCTTTTAGCTGTACGAATGCTTCCTCGGCCTCCTCTGTCCACTCAAAACATGGATTTCTTTTTTATGGTTTGGAAGAAATAACGGCACTTGTCCCATGATCTTGACAGAAATCTACCAAGTGCTGCTAAACAGTCGGTCAATCTTTGGACTTCTTTAATTGTCCTTGGTGACTTCATGTCCATAACAGCTTGGATTTTTTCAGGGTTGGCCTCAATTCCACGTTAATCAATTAAAAATCCGAGAAATTTACCGGACTCAACACCAAAGACACATTTCTTTGGATTTAGCATCTTCTTATGCCGCCTGAGTTTGGTGAAAGTTTCTCGTAGATCCTTCAAATTGTCGGCCGACTCTTTTGACTTGACAATCATGTCATCAATGTACGCCTCCATATTCCGGCCGAGCTGATCTCTGAAGACTGTATTAACAAGTCGTTGAAAGGTAGCTGGGGCATTCTTAAGGCCGAATGGCATAACTTTGTAACAATATAACCCCTGCTCAGTCACGAACGTTGTTTTCTCCTGGTCTTCTTCCCATAATGGAATTTGATGAAATCCGGAGTATGCGTCCATAAAACTCATCAGGGCATGCCCGACCGTCGAATCAACCAGGCGGTCGATTTTGGGCAAGGGAAAGCTATCCTTAGGGCATGCCTTGTTTAGATCGGTGTAATCCACACACATTCTCCAAGTTCCATTTGGCTTCTTCACAAGGACCGCATTGGCCACCCATTCTGGGTAATAACATTGCCGAATGAAACTGGCGTCCAGAAACTTCTTGACTTCTGCTGCGGCCGCCTGATTCCTCTCCTCTCCATGATTCCTTTTCTTCTGGCGGACATGTTTAACGGCCGGGTTTACAGCCAATTTGTGCACGGCCAGGTTAGGGCTTATACCTGGCATCTCGCCAACATCAAATGCAAATACATCTTTTAACTCTCTTAACAATTGAATTAACTCATCCCCAAGCACACCCACAGCTATAGTGCCTACACTAACCGTCCGACTTGGTTGATCGGGGTCGAGCACTATATCCTGGTGACTGCCGGCCGGCTATGGTCGTAACTCGACCGGCCGACCAACAGTCATTAGCTGCTATGCTTGCTCTATCTTGGTCGTCTTACGCTTCTGGCCGACCTGCTGTGTTGGGAGTGAGGTTCCTTCTTCTTTTGGCTCGGACGATTTTGGTCCACGCGTTGTGGGCTTAACAGCCAACTGATTACATTCTTTTGCCATCTTCTGACTTCCTTGGATCGTGCCTATTTTCCCGTCCTTCCTCTCAAACTTTAGCAGCATTAGATGAGGCACAATGACTGCTTTTGCTGCATTCAGTGTATTACGTCCGAGTATGACATTATATCCAGTCAGTTCTTTCACAACCAAGAAGCGGACAACCATATCTCTTCCTTCCCCTTTTTGCCCGAATCGGACAGGTAAGTCAATCCGTCCCACTGGGTGGATGACATTCCCCCCAAATCCAACCAACGGGTGAGTGATGTCCTGGAGAGCATCCTCTGGGAAGCTTAGATTTTTCAAGGCGGCCAGGCTGATGATATCAGCCGAGCTACCCGTGTCAATTAATATTCGTCCGACCTTCAAGTTGGCTATCTTCGTAATGAATACCATGGGATCATTGTGCAAGGATTTGACCTCCCCCCGATCAGCTTCACTGATGACTACTTCGGGGAAAGGTTCGGCCTTCACTAAATCCATTTTCATTACTTTACCCAAGTTGCGGGCGTCCTGCTTGATCCGCCTCATAGTAGGGCCGCCTGAAGCAAATCCTCCTGATATCACGGCCACAAAGCCTGAATCAGTGATGTTGCCATCATCTTCTTTATCTTTGTTCTTATCATTCTTCTGTCTTTGCTCGGACGTGTTGTTTGTTCGTGTGTAAGTGAATTTGGACTTCATCACATATGAATTCAGCATGTCCTTCTCGGCTAACTTGTCCAGCAATCTCTTCAAGTTGATACAATTATTTGTGTCATGTCCCACGTCCTTGTGGTAATGACAATACTTGTTCTTGTTCCTATACTGAGTCGGGCCTCTCAGCGGCTGTGGCTTCTCAAACTCAAACTTATCCTTGATTTCCATCAAGATAGAATAACAATCCTTGTTGAATTCAAACTGAGGCTCGTACGCCTTGACCTTCTTGGACTTCTGTGACTGGGCGTCAGCCACCCAGACTTCCTTTCTCTTTTTTCCTTCTTTCTTTTGGTCGGCCGAGTCTTGCAGAGGAGATTTTTTCTCAGCCCCCTTGACCAGCGCTTCTGTTTTTGTGAGCGAACAAAAGTCCGTCGCCTCAATGTAAGCTTCGGCTTCCCGCAGAACACCTGCGTATGTCCGAATCTTTTTCCTTACCAAGTCAAATTTAAAACCATTGTGCCTTAATCCCCGGAGAAATTCAGAGTAAGCCATTTCGTCCGGCAGATTATGAATTTGGGTTTTTTCTTGGTTAAATCGCTGGACGTACGAGCTTAAGCCCTCAGTTTTTCCTTGGACGATTGTCGCCAAGTTAAGACAAGTCTTTCGAGGCGGTATATTGTATGAAAAATTTCCCACGAACATCAAACTAAGAGTAGTAAAACAATTGATACATCCGTCCGGTAAACTGTTGAACCAATCCTGCGCCACACCTTTCAGAGTGGCCGGGAAACATTTGCACCAAGTAGCATCATCTACGCTTTGCAAGTACATCAGGTTCCAGTACGAGGTGATGTGCTCTTCTGGGTTGCCCGTGCCATCATAGGCTCCCACAAGTACACTCTTCACCTTTGGTGGCTGAGAGGCATTTAAGATATCTTGCGAAAACGGGGGCGGCTTATCTCCCAGAGTAAGTAGGCGCATCTGCCAATCGATGGGTTGCGGTTGCACGGACGGTCCAGCCAGATAGGGAGCCTGTCCGTACACATGTCCGTATGGTCCATATTGTCCATATGCCTGGGGGTTCGGCTGCATCAAGCCATTGAACCCCTGAGGAGGCTGATATTGCAGTGATTGGGCTATAATGGGAGTTGGAGCATGAAAGACTGGAATAGGAGTTGGGGTGCGGACCGCCTGAATTCCGCTGGAGATGGCCGTGTTGGTATGCTGGGAAAGAGAATGATGTGAAAAATCATCCGGCATAGTTGGGGTTGAGGCCGTGTCCGAGTAGGCGGCGCGCTCCCGCTGCTTATGCCGAAGGTAATCTCTTGCGTCCTTCCATCGTCTGGACGGCTCAGGCTCCTCTCTTCGAGGTTGTCTACCCCTCCCCCAGCTGACTGCGTTTTCTCCAGCAAGTCAGAGAAATTAGTCCGTGTCACCCTCGAGGACTTTCCGGTCGGCCTTCGAAAAGGAGTGTTTCCAACGTCCGTTGCATGGACCGCTTTGCTGTGCGTCTTCTTTGGAGCCCTCTGCTCCTCTCTCCTGGGCGGCTGCCTAGAGGTAGAGGCTCCATTTTCAATTTCTTTTCTGAGTTTGTTAAGCGCGGCCTTAAGAGAGGCAGCGGTAACAGGAGGGTCATCAGCTTCTTCAAATGTGGCTATCAGAGGATCGCTAGTACGGATCGTAGGATTAAATCCTCTACATGTCCATCCTCGCCTGGATGAGGTGTCTAACTATCTATTGCCATAACGTACGAGTATCCCCACAGACGGCGCCAAATGTTTCGGGTGTTTTTTGGATTTCCTGGGATACTAATCACGCTCTTCTGGCAATGAGTCGGTCCCACCTGCAAAACAACGAATATTCCGATCAACAGAATATTCGTCTCTGACGATCAAGTCAGTGATTAGAACGGAAAAGGCTAGAGAGAGAAAGTAGAGAGAAGTTGAAGCTATTTAATGTTCTGTTGTTTTCAATTGTCTGAATCCCCCTCCCATCATAAATGATTGGGGTATTTATAGGGGTGGGACTCATGCCCCTCTCTAGGGTTTATACCCTAGATTTGCGTGATGTGATTGGCTGTGCAATCAGCGAATGCCACGTGCTACTCTGGGGGCGCCGTTTTGCGGCTTCCATTGTTATCTCTCGGGATTTGGGCCCTGACGTTGCTAGGGTTTTCTGGCATGTTGATTGTTAAGGGAACAAATGTCCTTGACACATGGCATCTTCTCGTGACGACACGTGTCACCCTCTGACTGGGCCACGTGTCGCGACGAGACTGGCCTGCGGCTTTAAGGGCTCTGAATTACGTGGCATCTTCTCGTGGTGACACGTGTCGCCCTATAACTGGGCCACGTGTCACTATGGGATTGGTTCATGTATACGGGATATTTTTACCCACAACAAGATTAACATGCATGAGGAATGAATATATAATCCACAAGGGTTGTTATGCACTTTTTCAGAATTGAATTTGAGTTAGAAACGAAGAAAAACGATGTTTTACAAAGTGGCAAAAATGACCTTTGTCCACTCTTTTGATCATAACTCAAGTTCTACAGATCGGATTGATGAGATTTAAATTGCGTTGGACACTAGACTTAAAGAGCTTTCCAATGATAGGTCACACGCCCAAAGAAGCCTTCTAGAACAGAAGTTATGGTCGTTTTAATCCGTGCTATCTACCCTGCGACCAAACCCCGCGCCCACTCGACTTCCCAGCGCACTGCCAGGCCGCGGGGCTGACCTGCGCCCGCAGGTTCTGACGAGCAGCAACGCAGCCCACGACCACGAGGCTTCGTCGCTGCACATACATCTTCACTGGTCCCTTGATCTATCGATCTTATTCGTGCCACGTCATCTTTTATCATCCAATAGCATTGCAACTTTTGTATTTATTATTTTCTTATTTCTTTTCTTTATTTATTTTTAGATTAGTTTTAGGATAATATAAATACTTCAAGGGATATTATTTTTCCCTTATGCCTTTTTATACTTTTTATTTTACGTTTGTTGTAGTTTTCTCTCTAGCCCTAATTTTCTCATGGGCAACTCCATGGATTCACCATGGATTGTTCTTGAGTTTATTAATTTTATTCATTGAGGTAATTTTATTTCTTTATTTTAATTATGCTTTCTTTATTAGATTTAGCTTTAATTATTTCTTTCATGTTTGAGTAGTTTAATTTCTAGGGTTTGGGAATCCATGTTTATACTTTAATTCTTGATTGATATTATTTATGATTTGATTATTAATATCTCTAATTGATAGTGTTTTATTGTTAATCGTGCAACCTGATCAATTGTTTGATTAATTATTGTTGATAAGAGTTTGAATCGAAAGATCTTACTTTTAGAGGCTTCCCTACAATTAGCAATTCTGATTATGTTAGCGACCGTACTGCATATGTTGAATTGAGAGCGTTAAGACCCGACCGTAGGCTTAGCAATTGCTCTAGAAGATTGATTGATTGAATTGTTATTGATATTTGATAGATATAGAATTAGAAGCATGGTGAACCACAACCCTAAGTCTTTTTATTAATTATTTTTTCCCTCTTTTAATTTAGACTATATTTTCATCCCAATTTCGCGACATTGTTTAGTTTCTCCATACCTTGAAAGCTAGATTGAATAGCCATCTCTCTGTGGATTCGACCCTACTTACCCTACTACATTGTTAGTTGGTTTTGTTAGGAATTTATTTTTGACAGGTGTACGACAACCTATCAGGTATATATATATATATATATATATATATATATATATACACAATTGATTTGCTTGGAGAATCATAAACCCTAAACTCTAGAAAATTCTAGAGTGATACAAGATGGACATCCACAAATATGTTTAGATAAGAATAAACCATATATCTAGAATATTCCAGAATGATATAAAGAGCATAATGGTCATCCACACGATATTTCATAACACTCCCCATTGGATGTCCATTATCGAAGACTGTGCCTCGTTAAAATCTTATTAGGAAAAACCGTGTGGGATAAAAACCTAATTAAGGAAAAAGAGTACGACATTCTTCGTAATGCGCTCGAGATGCTGCCTCATTAAAAACCTTACCAGGAAAACCCAATGTGGGACAAAACCATGGTCAAGGGAAAAAGAGTGCAGCGCGTATTTTCTTCCCCTGATGAATACATAACTTGAGATCTTTTAGTGTCGCAGCGGCAATGAATCCAATATGTTGTATATCTTCTAATAAGTTGGTAAAATATCACTTGTTGATCTTCGATCCTTCTAAATTGAAATTGCATCTTCAAGTCTTCACGTGGACATGTAAAGTGTCTTCATTTCACCATATATGTGTTTATCTCTAATATCACCATTCCAAATCTCTATTTAATAGTTGATTAAAAAGGTTAAACTCATGCGGTTATGACTTCTTCTAGAAGTCGTTAATAATAAATATTGATGATCATTATTTGATTTAACATTCATTAATAATAATTTGATGACAAACTTGATATTATTAATGTCATTCTTCAATCTCATATGAATTATAATATAACATATGTAATTATATACATTGAACATGGTTTTTCTAGACCATAAGAAAACATTCCCGCGCATAAGTATTCCATTGATATTATTTAGATGTTTCATGATTGACATGATAGCTCTCTTGTAAATACAAATAGTAAATCTTACTAACTCTCATATGCTCAAACTTCAGGTTGAGAGGTCAATAATGTAGATACATAGATTTTTCAAGAGTTTGATAATAATTGCAATATTCAAAACATAAAAATTTATAGGGTTGGGCATTTAATACGTCGTATATAAGTTCTTCAGGAACTCCCTTTACATGATTCATAACATGTTATTAAATAAGTGTCATCAATAATTTCATTACAATTATAAACCCATTGGAATATAAATATCTCTTTCTAATTTTTCATCAAAGTTGTAAATATGTCTTACTATACTTTGAATGAACATTCACATACACCACAACCATTGTAAGAAATTAATCCATGCAATATGAGATATATAAAACATAATACCATATTAAACAAATTATACAATGAGTAATGCATCTAACTTCCTACATATGCAATAAACCATTAACTTATGACTCACATGCACATGAATATAAAACTCAAAATGATGCAAGACAATGTACAATGTGGATTTAAAAATCCACATTTCATTAGACTTCTGGTCCATGATAAACTTATGATTATTATCATTATGTCGACATCAAAATGGACATATATTTCAGATCCCTTATTCACTAGTCCACTCTATTATGCATATGCATATTATTCATCGGTTCCATTATGTACAAGTATCATAAAATTCCTTTAACTTACATTCTGCATGCTATTTTACTATGAAATCTGAATACATTTCTCATTGGTACTATCATAACTTTTCTTACATCATGGGCCATCTATTATAATAATTCAGATATCTATACCACTTTTAGGGTATTTCATACACTATGGTATTTATATACTATTACACTTTAGTGTCAACTGCACTATCTTGCCAAATATCATATCTATTAAACATATCTTTATTTTGGAACCGATCATATACAACCTACACTTCAAGTATAGTGATTCAAGTACAATTGGCAAGATTTCATCTCAATATATACACATAACTAATATGACCAAAATGTATCTTCAACGCTATGCAACATGAGTCATAACTGAATACAAATCAAATCATAAATGTGCAACATATCTTGATAATATATATACAAAAGTTGGCATATATATAACTTTTCAAACTACCATTATAGGGAACATAAATATTCTTTATATATTTAATTTTTTTTTTTCGATTTTCCCAACTTTTGTTATTTCTTCTCCTCCTAAGTTGGTAAAATATCACTTTTATAGGGGCGTCTAATTCTATACCAACTTAGTTATATAAATTTGCATTAAAAGTCATTTCATTAGGAGGATCACAATCAAAATTTAACTCTTCTGGAGAACAATTTCGATGAAGAATCATTTATTCATTAACTTTATATTTCATGTATATTTATTATTAAATTTCAATAATCTTTTCTCTTTTGGAGATCAATGTCAATGGGGAGACATATGTTGTGCAGTTGTATGTTTTTCTTTCTTCTCCTATTTCATATGTGCTGACATATAATAGCCTCAATCAAAAGAATTGTTATACAAGCATAAATCACTTGCTCATAATTCTAGTAGGTGATGATCTTCTGGATCTTTAAAGACTTAAATAGTGTATTTGGTGAGCTTCTGATCACTTGATAGTTGACAATAATATGTAAATTATTCTGGTGAACTTCTGATCAGCCATTACTCCTTTATATAAAAAAAATCAAAACATATTAAATCTTGAATTTTTCATCAATATAAATTATTATAACTCACAATCCAAATATAACTCAATCTCACTGTTTTGCTTGCCATTCAATTCATTTTATATATTTAACATTGAGAAAGCGTCAGCACATTATCAAATGAAACTTCAGGTTTCCATTACGGGTAATTATTATTAAACCCGGATGGCCTAATTTAACTATCACGTCTAAATTTGAACTCTGGTCAGTTTTCAACACTAGTGATCACTTTACTGTATGCATGGCCATGAATGAATGTGATGTGTATTAGAACACCAACATGTGTTTCTTTATACAATTGGCAAGACAATCAATTAATATTTTATCCAATAATTACTCATACTCTACTGGAGTTTAAACTATAAACTTGATACATATATATTAATCTTGTTGGATATTTCATACTCTTCTGGAGTCTTTTATATAATCATGAAACATATGAACTTTACTAAAAGTGATTTCTTCTAGAAATGTAATGATATTTACCACTTCCTCAAATTTGTCATTGTTAATAGTGACTCCTTTCCTTTTCAAAGATACTTAATTGTCTTTAGAACCTATTGATTTATCACGTTTCAGGCATGCTATAGGTTCATCAATAATTGATGTTGTACTCTTAGGACATCAATTTTAAATTAGAGCATTTACAACTAGTATATGATAAATGTCATTTGTTTATATCCATCTTCAGGTTGGTATCATTTCAAAATATTTAATTAACATGTGGCCACTTCTATAAATAAATCAAAAAAAAAAGTTGATATTTAAGTTATTGTATGTATCAAACTGACTATCAATATATTTTATTATTTATATGCAAGGATTACATACAATCTCCCCCTAATCCTTGCATATAGAGGAGTATTATTTAAATAATGCATTAATACGATAAGGTACAATGAATTGAGAGTCATACCGTTTAGCACTTTAAAGCAATATATGTTATGTACTTGAAATAAATTGCCCTTGGCTAATCAATAAAACATAAACAACCTTAATCATAAAATCAAATATGATGTATACAAAGGGTAATTGATCAACAAAATATTAAATATAAAATAAATAAATAAAGGCTCATAATTAATAGACGAAGAGCTAGCGTATTGGTTTAATTTGAAATTACTCAAAAATTGTGCCAAACATAAGACCAAAGTCTCATCCTTCCCTCATTTTCAAAACAGTTGGCAGATTTCCAAAGATGCAACAAATTTCAAATCTTACAGTATTTGTCAAACATTTAGACACACTTTTTTTTAGGCTAATGGTTAGCGATACATATAAACATTAAATATATTCTTAGAAATTGTATAAAATTAGGAATTTATGACAAAAAACGTGTAAATCAGTGTAATTAGTGTTTATATTTTGATGATTTTCAACGGGCAAATAAAAGTTTATCTGCCAGATAAACGAATTTTTTTAAATATGGTAGCATTTCTGTAAATATATTGAAAAAATGTGGTTATTTATTCATTACTTTTGATGAGCGGTTCAATTAATGTTTGCAACTTGCTTTTACTGTTTGGTAAGGAAATTACACTTATACCCCTCAATTAGTATATGAAAAGACGCATGTACTCTTCTACTAGTACTTGAAAAGACAATTATACCCCTAGATAAATAATTATCTGGGAAATTAACTGGGTACAACTCTTTCTTAATTTTTTACGATTTTCAAGTTTAAATTTTATGCTTATATGTAACCTTAAAAGCTAGGTATAATATTTTCCTTTTTTATATACTCTCTTAATAGTGGTGTGTCAAAATAGATTAATAGTGTGTTAAAATCAATTTTCCAGTGAGTATGAATACTTTTTTAAAAAAAAATAAAAGATTTCCATAAATATTGCAAGTACCGAAGTACCCTGTAGTAGCTTTAAAAAATAAAAATAAAAAATAAATAAATAAAAAGTACCCCGTAGTAAGAATGTAAGATGGCAATCCTATAGTATCGCAAAAGATTTTGACAAAATCATAATAACATTTCCTGAAATCATGGTAAATTTTAGCAATTATGCCAAAAAAAAAAAAAAAAAAAAAGTAAAAAACAACCAAATGGGTAATTTATAAGCAAATTGTGTTTCCCTTCAAAAATAAGCAAATTGTGCCAACCCATTATTTACTTTTATTGTTGGCTGTACCTTACTAACACACAAGCATACTCTCTCATCTCACTATCTCAATTAGGCCTTTTGAGTTTTGACTACTTTTCTCACCTACTCACTCCCAATATTTGTTTAATGATAATTAGGTGCTTTTAATCACCCTTCTGCATTTTCTCATCCCTTTATTAATATTGAGATACGTATCACTTATGGTAAGTTATCGCTAATCGATTAAAGGTCTGTTCATATTTACTTAATTTCAGTTCAGTTCACTTCAGCTCGTAATTTCCCTCTTTCATAAAATATTCTTTTCAGCTCATTTCACTTCAACTCCAATCAGTTCAGTTCAGTTCAACTCCATTCACTTCAGTTCACCTCATTTTATTAAATGTGAACATGCCCTAAGTATTTAGCTAATTACTTGAATTTTTATACTTGATTACTTGTTTTACTCCCTTCGTCCATAAATTTCAATCATACTTCTAGCATTTATTCCTCATATAATAGAGAGAAGTAGGAAAGTAATTTAGGGCCCGTTCTCTTACGTTGAAGTTCTTTAGTTTAGTTTAGTTTAGTTCAGCTCAGTTCAGTTCAGTTTAGTTCAGTTCAGTTTAGTTCAGTTCAGCTCGGTTCAGTTCAGTTCAGTTCATTTCAGTTCAGTTCAGCTCAGTTCCTAATTTCCTTCTCTTATAAAATATTCAGTTCAGTTCAGTTCAGCTCAGTTCAGTTCAGCTCAGTTCAGTTCATTTCAGTTCAGTCCAGTTCAGTTCAGTTCAGTTCAGTGCAGAGTTCAATTCAGATCAGTTCAGTTTAGTTCAGCTCAGTTCAGTTCAGTTCAGTTCAGTTCAGTTCAGCTCTGCTCAGTTCAGTTCAGTTCAGCTCAGTTCAGTTCAGTTCAGTTCAGTTTAGTTTAGTTCAGCTCAGTTCAGTTCAGTTCAGCTCAGCTCAGTTCCTAATTTTCTTCTCTTATAAAATATTCAGTTCAATTCAGTTCAGTTGAGTTCAGCTGAGTTCAGTTAATGAGAACAGACCCTTAGGAATGGAGGGAGTACTTCTAAAGCACACTTCATTCTATAAGATGATCTGAGATATTATATTAAGATATTGTAATTATGCATTTGTTAACTATTACTAGAATAAAACATTGTTGACAACATCTCTCCTCAAAACTGTATACGTGTCAAATTTTATGAAGTTTTTTCCTGCCTAAAACCATTAATGATATCATTTTTTTTGTGATAGTTTTTTTTTTTTTTTTTTTTTTTTAATCTGAAAGGATTTTTTTTTTCTTTTGTGTGATGCTTGGTAAACAAGATAAGTAAATTCTTTCAACAACTTTAATCTAAAAAAAATATTTAAAAAAAAAAATCAAAGTATAACAAATTGAATAGCAACTGTATTATTATTATTATTATTATTATTATTATTATTATTATTATTATTATTATTATTATTATTAAAGATCTATGATTCCCCCTTCTTAATTCCTTAACACTAATATTCAAATGTCTAAAAAATTTCTTGATATATTCAAACTGTTTTTCTGTTCTCCTTTTAATGAATTTATGACAAAATAGAAAAGATTCATTGTAAATACAAGTTCTATACTATGATTTTTTTTATTAAAATCGTGCAAGGGGATAATCTAGTTGAATTATGCAAAAAGTAAATTGGTTAAAAAAAATTAAAATAAATAAAGAGTATACGAAGTATATATTATGATATCGCCATGTACTACGTATCAGCTTTGTTTTTTTTGGTAAGTAAATGTTTTCATCATATTGGTACGATTTTGATTCTATTTTTTTATATCCTTTATGATTTTACAAATTGGAATTCGGATTGGTTATATTACACTATTACCTTTAATGGAAAGTGTTCCGAATAAAACAACATTTACATTAGAGTGTAAAAAAGTTCACACAAACTACTAAAAAGCCTAATCACACCCATAATTGCAAGTAAATTACCTTATTAACCCACCCACACCAAACTGTATTCAATATATATAGGGAAGTTAGACATTGAGTAAGAACACAAAATTTTGTTCTATTCTATGCTTATATGATATTATATTTTTCTTATTATATATAATACGAAATATACGTTCTTTTTATTTTTTATTAAAAAACTTTTTAAAAAAAAAAAATTGCTTTTAAACTACAAAATTACAAAACCCTTTTTTCTTAATGATGTTGTTGTGTTGCCGACCCCTCATCTCATGGAATCAAAAGTTACACATATTAATTCAACACTTCTACCAGAATTGATAGGAGATATTCCGGAGATTTCTAAACAACTTTATTTTTTGTTATTAAAATTACTTTTGAATTTTGATTTTCTTTTTAAATATAAAAAGAAAAAAGATAGAAACGTGAGTACTTCTTTCATATATACTCAATTTTATCTTTTTATAACTCTTATATTCCTCTTCATATATCTTGCATGTAAAGCTAAACAACACTTATTAAATTGTAAAAAATTTAATAAGTTTGTTATATTGTTACACATAAACATACCCTAATTTTGATTATTTTATCAATATTTTAGTTACATAGTTTTTTTAGAGCATTAATGCGAGAAGAAAGAAATATGGATGCGGAAGAAGTACAAGTGAATGATTTAGAAGCTCAACAAAAGAAGACAATGGAATTTGATCGAACCAAAATTCAGAAAAAGGCTAAGCAACCCGTTACATTGAAGGTAATTTTGTTTTTATTTTGTTTATATATCTTTATTTATTAATCTTTAATGTAATCTTGTTGCATGAAGTATCACTTCACATGTAGTTAAAAATACGGACTCCATATCAAGAATTTTATCGGACTCAAATCTGAATTAGTCGGAGTTTAATAATATATTCTTTGAGGATTTATTGAATTTATCAATGAATTAGAATCCTTGCTGGGTTTTAGATGCATCTACGTTGAGTTTGGCGTTGAATGTGTATGAGAGTTATCAAGAAAAACGGGGGTCGGAGGAAAAAAATAAAATCAACATCATGAACTGGAAAATTCTTTATCTTTTTTAAATTTCCTAAGATGAATGTGATTTTTTTTTTTTTTTTTCTTTTTCGGGTGTAGTGAATGTGATTTGATGCATAGTCAAATTTTCTTTTTTTCTAATGGTCTTTGCACTTTTAGGTTTACTAAAGACACACATAATTAATACTACTCATAATCCTATAAGATATGAGAGTGGGTTATACAAGATCTTGTGATCGATTTTCATCACCTGCTTTTGTGGTTCTTTAAAAAAAAATCTTTTAAGATGTGTGTTCAACTGTGGCATTTTTAATCAAAAATAAAAAGTTGTACTTCGTTTGTAATTTATACTTTGCAGTCTTGTAAATGTTTTTTATCTATTTTTTCACAAACAAAAGTATAGTTATTATAGTAGTATAAACTTGTAGGATGTCCAAAAAACAGGTATATCCCTCACAATCCTAAGACATACATTAACATTTATTCTTATCAATCAACAACCAATCTACTATACGTTTATACCAACACAAACCATGGAATATAATTTGTAGGGACTAAATATAAAGTTGTTTCTTTATTCTTTATTCTTCTAGGGTAAGAAAGTGTTTTTTTTTTTTTTTTTTTTTTTTTTGGTCTGTTATATACAATTAATAGATTGAATGAGCATTAGGGTGACTGGTGAGGTAGGTAAACATAAAGTTTCTACTTTAAAAAATTAAAACTTTAAAGAATTATCTAGAAAAATTAATTAACATATACTCCATACTATACAAATATTGCACACTATACGTATGTAAGCTCATGTAATCTTGTATAACTAACATTGTCAGTTTGCACTGAACCTACAGATGTCTAACCATGTTAAGTGTTACCATTACTATACCGCATTGTCCCAACCCTATATTGACCCTATAAAATATGACCCTCTTTGACCCTGACCCGCAACCGACCCACACTAACCTTAACCCGACCCGCCCAATAACCAGGTCCAGTTACAATTACTCAAAAATAAAGTCAATACTTTAAGCAAAAGTTTCCTAATCATTAACAATATAACTTGTAATTTTGTTGGTGAAAATTGATGAAAATGAGGTTTTATTAACTTGTGATTGAGGAGTATCTTACTTATAAGAAAAGTAAATGTCATTAATCATGCATTAAGATTAATAGATGACCAAGCTAATTTGATTACACTTTACTTTATCTTTTCTAATTTTAGTGAGCTATATAACCGATCAAGAAGGTCCAAAATACTCTTCTTGGAGAAATTTTATAATGTCATCATCAAAGGATGTCATATTATCGAAAAATATTTCATTTCTAAAGTCATCATAATATATGATGTTACCTTTGTCTAAATAAGACACATAATTATGATGCATGCTACTATGTCTTGTTGATGCTCCTTTGCATCTACAATGATTTATACGGCCAAGTAAAGTATATTTAAAGAATTTCATGATTAAGGGTCTGTTCAACTTAATTTCAGTTTAGTTTAGTTCCTAATTTCCTTCTCTCATAAACAATTCATTTAAGCTTTATTCAATTCAATTTAGCTCCAATCAATTCAATTAAGCTCCAATTAATTCAATTTGATTCAGTTCATTTTTTTTTTCAATAAATTAGAACGGGCCCTTAAAAGTTGATTACGAGTGTAGTGATACATTACTATTCATGGTCACGGAACACAATTTATTTTAAAAGCGTACTTTGATATTATGTGCTATATAGTATGAAGTATATTTTATCAAAATTTCATATTATTTGCAATTTTGGGTATTATTTATTAGATATAAAATATTCAAATGTTCGAAAGTATTACATTTATCATGAATATGTATCACATGAACTGAATTTTTTTTTTCCCCTCATTTGCAGTTTAAGGATGTGGTATACAAGGTGAAATTTCAAATACCGAGCAATAAAAAGGTTAAAAACACTGCAGATTCACCATTACGAGAGCGGATCATCCTAAATGGGATATCGGGTATGGTAAAGCCCGGCGAAATGCTAGCAATGCTCGGTCCATCAGGAAGTGGTAAAACAACCCTTTTAACGGCCTTAGGTGGCCGACTAGGCGGCCACCTTACAGGAACCATAACATACAACGGGAAACCATTCTCGAACCAAATGAAACGTAACACCGGTTTTGTAACACAAGATGATGTGCTCTATGCTCATTTAACCGTGACGGAAACTCTAGTATACACTGCATTATTAAGACTACCAAACACATTTACCAAAGAACAAAAGATTGGTGTAGCTGAGGATGTTATACTCCAAATGGGCCTAACTAGGTGCAAAAATAGCATTATTGGGGGCCCATTTATGAGGGGTATATCTGGTGGTGAGAGGAAGAGGGTTAGTATTGGGCAAGAGATGTTGATTGACCCGAGCCTTTTGTTCCTCGACGAGCCCACATCGGGTTTGGACTCAACCACGGCCCAACGAATCGTGTCGACGTTGTGGGACCTAGCACAAGGAGGGAGGACAGTTGTGATGACTATACATCAACCTTCAAGTAGGTTGTTCTATATGTTTCATAAGGTCTTATTGTTGTCTGAAGGTAACTCTTTGTATTATGGTAGTGGTTCTGATGTTATGGACTACTTTCAAAGTGTTGGGTACGTGCCCAAAGTTCCGATGAATCCGGCTGATTTTCTCCTAGACCTTGCAAATGGTACGTGTCTAATGTCCTGACTTATTTATACCATATACGTACATATAAAAAACTTAAAGTTCGTTTGGTATTACTGTGGTTTTCTGTTTTTTTGCTATTTTGATTTAATGATTTTTAAAATAGTCAAAGTTATTAAAATCGTGATAGTTTATGACAACAGAAAAGTGGAAATATTTTCTGTTTAATCAAAATTAAAAAAAAAAAAAGAAATTGAAAACAATAAACAATGTCAAACAAGTCCTTTATTTTCTGAGTGAAACTGTTAAAACAATTAGCGAGACTCTTTGAATTTAACCTTTGTGAATTTCAGGGGTGTCCCCGGATGAGTCAGAAGATCAAGTGACGGTGAAAGAAAGACTAATTATGGCATCCAAGAACCATATAGCAACCAAATTGAAAGCAGAATTGCAAGAAGAAGACGGTGTGGTTGCTGATCATAATAAGAATGAGTCTAATACGAATGTTGGGAAGTGGCCAACTACTTGGTGGCAACAATTTATCGTACTTCTTCAAAGGGGTATGAAAGAGCGAAAGCACGAATTTTTCGATGTTCTTAAGATCACACAAGTCATTGTTGTAGCTTTCCTAGTAGGACTTTTATGGTGGCAGTCCAAGATCACTCACTTACAGGACCAGGTAACATAATTAATTACTTCGTATATAACTATTTATTTTAGGGTAATGCTCTATGTAGCCTTTAGGCTTATGAATAAACATTTAATAACTTTCCTTATTTGGTACAAAGGATTGCATGGCAAAATCACGCATAAACCAGTGTAATTGATGTTTTTTTTTTTAAAGCTTTTTATATGTAACTTTAAAGGCTATATATAACATTTTCATTTTTTTTTTGTTGGTTCATGAACATTGATATGAATTTTACTTTACAGACTGGACTGCTATATTTCTCAACCGGATTTTGGGGTTTCTTCCCATTATTTCAATCCATCTTTGCATTCCCGCCAGAACGTATGGTACTCGCAAAGGAACGATCATCAGGAATGTACAGACTATCATCCTACTTCATAGCGCGAATGGTTAGTGATCTACCAATGGAGCTAATACTACCCACAATATACATTGCCATAACTTATTTTATGGGTGGACTAAAGTATAAGGCCACATGTTTCCTCTACTATTTGTTCTCTCTTCTCTTAAGCATCATGGTTTCGCAAGGCCTAGGCCTTGCGCTAGGTGCACTTGTCATGGACCTTAAGGCCGCGACAACCTTAGGGTCAGTGCTCATGCTCACATTCCTCCTAGCAGGCGGGTTCTACGTTCAAAACATCCCTGCCTTTATTAAATGGATTAGGTACTTATCGATTATGAACTATAACTACAAGTTGTTGCTCGGGTCGCAGTATAAGCTAGGGGAGACTTACCCCTGTGGTGAAGGTAAATTGTGCTTGGTGGAAGATTTTCCTTCTGTTAAATCAGTAGGACTTAGAGGGCAGCTTGTTTCCGCGGTTGTTTTGGTTGTTATGTTTGTTGTGTATAGGGTAATTGCTTATGTTGCACTTATGCGTATTGGTGTAACGCGAAAAATTAAGAAAGCCTAAATAATGTATGCTTAGCAATCTACTAGAGATTTTGGTAGTATTTTGATCTTTACCCTTTAGCAATTATGTTTGCAAGATTTTATGCAATGTATTATAGTAGCTCTGACAGAATAACATGCATTAAAAATTATAACCGGATACCCAACCAGATGACCAACTTTTAAAAGCTAGCCATGACCTAACTCAAAATACTAAGCCGAGTTGTAGGGTATTGGATATTTTTCTCAAGCTTGTTATTTAAAAATTATATATTCTTACATGCACTCGGGTGTATCTAAAGCTGTACACCCTGAAAACTTTAAACAACAGATGTAGAATGAAACAAATTCTGAATCAACTAATCAAGCGACAAGTTGAGATACTTTTTCCAATCCCTCAAGTTTATATATACCACCTTGATAATTTGATGAATGAGTTGTGAGTTTATAATAATTTGATGAATGAGTTTTACCAACTTGCCACTCTTGCCCAAAATAATTATTCCAATACCATGTTAAACATGTTTAGTTGGCATCTACTCTACAGGGAACAAAGGAACAAGCTGTTACATATTTGAGATCCAATAAATAGATAAGACACAATTATTGAGAATCACACACTAGTAAAAACAAGAATTTTAAGAATTGAGTATCATACAGAGTACATGCAAACTATAATTTTTTTTATTTTTTTTAATTATAAGGAGGACCCTGATCAAACCTTAACCCCTCATGGCTTTTAATCTGATATTTGCAGGTTAGGCCCGCATTTGGGAGTAGAGGGGAGGGTAAGATATCTTTATCCCCAAGTACCCTCACTTGGTAGGATTTGAACCTCATACCTCTAGGATTTGAGGTAATAGTCTTACTAGATGAGTCAACACTTTGTTGATTTAGTACATACATATTTGATGGTAGTCATAGTTTGGAACCACTAATCGATGCAAGAAAGATTTATCAAATCAACAAACAAGAACACAAATTTTACTTAGTTTACTAACAATGAGCACGAATTGGTAGGGAAGGAAATTTTAATTGAACTTGAGAATAGTAAAGTTTACAGAATAATATTGGCTACTTTAAATCCAAACTAACAATTACAATGACAATTACAAACACTAACAATCCATCATAAATGCATGCTAATTGCAAAAATTAAATAGCTAATCTGAGCTGGGAAGTGGAGATTAAGCATATCTATAGTGAAGGAAATAGAGCAGCATATTGGCTAGTCAATCAAGAAATTATACAAAACAACATTATCGAGTTGATTCAAATCCCCTTTTAACTTAAGGTCGTATTTTGCATAATGATATAGTTAACATGTTCTATATCTCCTTGATTTTGTTTTTCGCGTTTAATAGTCTGGGGCCTAGGCCCCCATGTGCACCCAAAATAAATAAATAAATAAACATTTAAAGATGTTTACAAAATTTATACTCACCCCGTTAGTACTAAGCACGGCCACTTTTAAAGCTTTTCATTTATCTTATACAAGTATTTTCTTTACCTTAAATTTTCTTTTTGAGTAATAAAGCATAATACTCAAAAAGTACTAAAATTTTTCTTTAATTAGCTAATTGATTGATTAGCTAGTTGCATTTACTTGTATTTTTTTAACAGTTGATCATCATCATCTTCTCATTCATCATCATCATCAAAGAAAAAAAAAATTACTTGGTATTTCAAGATTATGAGACCCTTTTTTCCGAGATCCTTTATCTAACCACCAACTTTTGACACGCCATTAGTCGGCTATGACAAGAATTTATGGGTATAGATGCTATCCTCAATTCCTCATTCTTCACACTTACATCTTGGTTTATATGTACTTCGTACTAACTCATTTGATGCCATCCTTAATAAGACAACGAAAAAAAATTACAACAATAAAATAAAAATTCCAAAATCAACACTTTGATTCTTCACCTGCATCAATTAAAACACTGAATTAATAAAAACTCACAATAAACTAAAATTACGAAAATTAAACCCAGAAATCACGATATTAAAAGCAAGAAAATAAACCCAGAAATTCCCCCCCCCCCCCCCCCAAAAAAAAAAAAAAAGAAAAAACCCAAAAAATACTCACGAACTGAAAATAAAAAAATTAAAAAAAAAACCCAGAAACTCAAAATTATAAGAAAAATTGAAAAAAAAAATACAAAATCCACGAATTACTTAACAAGAATGGCTTAACACAAGTACTTCATCCATTCTTTTTAACATGCATGTACCCAGGAAAAGACAAAATCCCCGAATTTTCTCTTTTAAAAACACCCAGAAAACTCAAAAAAAAAAAAAAAAAAAAAAAAACCCAAAAGACACATGCATGTACCCAGAAAAATAGATTAATTAAACACAATTTTTTTTTTTGAAAGAATTAAACACAAAATTAAAACGAGAAAAATCGAATTAAAATATAAAACCGATTAAATTCGGATAATTATACCCAAAAAATTGACAATACTCGAATGAAAATCCAATAATCAATTAAATAAACCCAGAAAAATCGATTTAAATCCAAAATCAAACCCAAATTTAAATCCAACAAACTCGATTAACATCGAATTAAACCCATAAAAAAACCTCTAACCTCGAAGGATACCCAGAAATTGTTGTTGATGTTGATGTTGGTGGGCTTTGCAGCGGTGGTCGACCTTTGTGGTGGCGGCGGCGGCTTTGCGGCGGCTTTGCGGCAGTGGTGATGTTGTGGTGGTGGGCTTTGTGGTGGTGGTCGAATTTGTGGTGGTGTAGATCAAAGAAAGAGAGTAGATCGAAGAAGCTAGGGAGAGGAGATGAAAGAAGATCGGTTAAGAGAGAGGAGATCGAATATGGGAGATGAGAGGAGAGAGAAGGGAGAGGAGGAGAGAAGGGAGAGAGGAGAGAGAAGGAGATATGAGGGAATGAATAAAGAGCCGGAGTGACCGAGTATATTTAGGGTTAATAATGTGATGAACCGGTTTTTTTTTCCATTTGTATTTTTGGCACCGGTTTGATCTGAACCGGTGCCATTTCTCTTTGTCTAAAAACCCACCCATTTTTAGGCCGATTTTTGGCACCGGTTTGGCCTGAACTGGTGCCATTTGGGGGTTGCCTTTTTGTATTTTTCTACTAGTGTAATATTTTTAACATATACAGTTTCAACATAGGGTGTAGGTTCTTTCAAAATCTCCACAATAGTAAAGGACTAAAGGTTTATGAGGAGGAAGGTCACTAAACAACATTAGACCACACCACTGAGCTTAAAAATGAAATTATCAAATTTTGAGGAAATTTGGTTGTCTAGGTACTCTTTTTGATAGTAGATATGCCAACTAGAGAAGATTATGAGTCAAAGGTGGTAAAGTCTTTTTGATCAAGGGAACTAAAAGGAGAAGAGGAAGATTATAATTAACTCCGTCCCTATAATTTTTCTCCAAGTGTTACTATTTGGGTCATGCCATACTTTAAATTTTTTATAATAAACTCCTGATTATGTACGCGGAATATTATAATCATCTAAAATCTTAATAATACCATTAATACATCTCATTGTATATTTTATTGACATTAAATTTTTATTTTATGTGTAATTATGGAAATGGAGATATACACATTTTAGTGACCATAAAAGTGGTGTCCAAAAAAAAAAAAAAAAAAAAAGAACAAAACGTTTTTGGGGTGAGAGAGGCTCGAACTCTCGACCTCAGGATTACTCAGAAGCTATGAGACCTACGCGCTAGCCAACTGCGCCACCACCCCACCGTTGTGTATCAAATACAATTTTATAAATAATTAGGTTAATCAACGTACCATTTTACGAAGTACAAAGTTTATGAATAATTACTCCGTAACATTATGTTCCAGCTTTATAGTTTATGCAGTAGTCTGATTGTCTGAATACCCCAGCACTGTGACTCCTTGGCGTTGCTTCCCCCTCCCTGCATTCGAGCACCTCGCCTCGACGCCTCCCTATACGCTGCTAACATAGAAGTTTTAGCAGCCCCTGCTTCCCCTGGATGACGAACAGACCCCCCCTAACAAGTTTTTTATTTTTAATTATTGATGACAAGTTTAAACTTGAGATTAATCCAATGACTAAATGAAATACTGTAGCTTGAAAATGTAAATTTTTTTGTCAATGTATAGAGAATAGCAGATGATATTATAATATTTAACCAACTAAATTATTTGACATCCATTAAACAGCACAATAGTAATGATTTGATTCCCTAGTCCCTTCTACAATTGCTAAATGCAAATCTGAAGTACAAAAAAAATAAAGAATAAAAATAAGAGTATGACTTTGGCAATTAGCAAATAGGATCCACAAACTAACATTAATACATTGTAATGTTTTTGAAGAAAGATAGCATTATTTGAATTCAGGATTCTTTTCTGTATTCAAAGTTCAACTATGAAATTATGAACAAATTTTATTGATAACATATACTACATATCATCCATGATCCATATACTACATATCACAGGCTCCTAACCACAAGTAATGGCTGGATGATAGACATCTCCCCAGTAGGCATATTGAGCACCATTAATCATCTAGACGTAGCAACCCGGCACACCAAAACATATACTTGTATGAGATAGCAAGCAGCTAATCAAAATGTAGTATCCCAAAAAACCATGGTAAATTGGAAGAAAAAAACAATGTTTTTTTTTTTATAAAGGTTTTTGTTTTGTTGATGTGGTGTAGCATTTATGAAATATGATGTGTTTTGGGTAGAGGTGGGCATCGTGTCGTGCTTCGCCGTGTCTAGTGGTGGCTCGTGTCGTGTCGTGCCTATATTTTGGCGGTCGTGCCGGGCCATCATTTGGCACACCCAGCCCACGTGCCTGGCGTGCTATGCCGGGTCAGTCAACTTGTCACCTATGTTATTTTTTTTACAGAACAACTTTTAAAATGGATATACTATTTAAATAATTTTATTGATTTTTGTTTATATTATTTTATTATTATATGATTATTGTTTTTTATTAATATTATTTTTATTATTATAACTCTTTATTATTTATGTTATTTTTATTATTAACTAGATGAAACCCGTGCGATGCACGGTTTGTTTAATTTTTTTTTTTAAAAAATTTATATTTATATATTTATGTGCTAAAATTTCTTATATATTTAGGAAATTCCTGATATCAAAAGATAATATTTTATATTTAATTAATTTAAACTGGGAAACCTCATTTGTCAATTTTGCTTCCGTGTCATTTAAATTATTTATTCTAAAAGAAATTAATAATCTCGTATTTAATTTGCTACCACTAAAATTTATTATCTTATGTGGCGCGCTAAAAAAATTAAATCCTACGTGGCTCTCTAAAAACTCGGGAAAAAACTCTCCTTTATATATATATATATATATATTAGATTTATTTGAAGCGGCGAATGAGTAGTCGTTTTGCACGGGTCATGCCTGGCGTGCCGTATGTCGTACTGGGTTGTGCTTGGTCGTGTTGTGGGCCAAAGTAATGTGCCACCTGCGGGTTCGTGCTGCATGTGTTCGTGCTAAATTTTCAAAATTGTGTTCACAACATGGCCCACTCCTTGGTCATCGTGTCGTGTCGTGCCGCTGGCGTGCTCGTGCCATGTCGTGCAATTTTTGTGTCGGGCCCGTGCTACCCGTGGGCCGGCCCGACCCATGCACAGCTCTAGTTCTGAGCCTGTGGCCCTGTGGCAATTTGACGATTAAAACTAATTTGATTCAATTTGAAAATCTCACTTTTTAGTGACCAAAACTCAGTCTTACTGTACTATAATTTGTATATATTTACTAGAGACAAATGCAATTGTCCTTTTAATTTCTCGAAATTATAATGCTTTTTTTTTTGTAAAAATAAAATTTGTAAAATTAACCTTGATTAATTTCACATTTAGGGCTTTTTTGGATATTCAAATTAAAAAAAAAAAACTTAAAAAATGTATTACATTTATTAAATTTACATTAGACTCGATTAATAATATATAGATTACTGTAAATTAATAAGTACCCTATTATAATTCCACCAAAATAATGCAATTATGAAAGATGGGTGGAATCAAAATTTTCATAAATTAATTTTGATCACACTATCATCACAACATCACTACATTAAAATGATTCAAATGATAACATATTTTTTCATTACGATAACCACACTTATAATTATACATACAGCTATTTCACCAAATGTCACTGAGTAATTTAAAAATTCACCAAATGCCATCGGACTTTTCAGAATTCACCAAATGCCACTGAGTTTTTAAAAAATTCACCGAGTGCCATTAATGACTAACGGCAGTTAACTCCGTTAGTCATTAAGGCTAATTATGCCACGTGGTGTATTCTAATTGGTTGCTTATTAAATTAGTAAATTAGTTACTTAATAAAAAACTTAAAAAAAAAAAAAAAAAAAAAAAAAACCCACCATGACCCAGCCCCAACCACCGTCTGTCACTGCACCACCATATCTCCGCCTCCAGCCAGTCCCCACCGCGGCGCAACCCAGCCCTAAACAACCGCACCGGCGACGACGCAACCCACCCTAGCTAACTCGCCCCAACGACGCAACCAGACTGTCCCCACTGAATCCCCCTTTCCTCCTCCCACTACCATAACCACCAGACTGACCCCACTGAATCCCCATTTCCTCCTCCCGCTAAATCACCCCAGCCACTGCAACCGTCTCACGCAATGCCCACAATTCCGCCTGCCCGACTCCAGCACCTTGACGACAACCTACAGAACTTCGCCTACCCGACACCCTCGCCGTGATCCACACCCCAGCCCCCGTAACCACCTCACGCACCAACACGACGCATCACCATAGCCACCGACATCGACCATGGAAACCAAAAATAAAACCCGACTATGGAAACCCTTCACCCTCAAACGGCTGAAATCGACCATGGAAATCCAGAATGGTCGGATTCTATGGCCGATTTCGTCATTTCAAGGGCGGAGGAAATGACTGGTTTTGTGCGGTGGTGATGTTTTTGCCAAAGCTCGTGCTCGATGTTGGTTTTTGGGGTCGGGGCAGTTTGTGTGGGTGGTTTTGGGGGTCGGCGATGGGTTGGGTGGGGCGTAAAAGGGACGGACGGCCGAGTTTTGGTGGTTAATGTGGTGGTCGTCCGTTTTCCGGCGAGATAAGGGCAGGGGCTAAGGTTTGGTGATGGTGGGGGTGGCTGGGAAATTTTTTGGGTTTTTTTTAATTTTTTGTTTTTTTTTTTTAATTTTTATGAATTAAGATAAATGGACCAATTATATCATGACATGTGTCATGATTAAGCCCTTGTTATTAACGGAGTTAACTCCGTTAGACAATAATGGCACTTTGTGAATTTTTTTAAAACTCGATGGCATTTGGTGAATTTTGAAAAGTCCGATGGCATTTGGTGAATTTTTAAATTGCTCAGTGGCATTTCATGAAATAGCCGTTATACATATACACATTGATTAATTATATATATACACTTTCTCGAGAATTCTTCATCATCGGGGGAGCGCGTGCTACGCGAGTGCTCTAACAACTAGTATCAACAAATAACGTACAGCTTGTAAGATTTTTCATAAGAACCCTAAAGTAAAGGAATTGATTCATCTTGTAATCAATTTATATTTCATTTTCATGCTAAAAATAAACTTTTTTTCTTTTATTCTTTTTGAAATGTTAATTTTGGGTACATCTTGAAATATTAAACAAAATCAAGTTTGTAATAGTAAATTAAATCAAGTTTATAATAGCAATTCGCTAGTTCAATGTTTATTTATCATAGTAAAGCATAAAAATGCAATTTTATTACTTTTTTAGATAAGATTGAGGAGTTGGGTTTATTTTTTAAAATTGGTTATCAATAGGTTGAAAAACGTTTGTAAACAACTTTTATGATTGGTAAGTTTACAAACATTATCTTAACAAAATTATTTGTTGGGAAATATAGTATTTTATTTGTTTGGTAATTAAAATGGAATAAAAATAAGAATAATAAAATATATAAAGTGACACAAAAAATTTGGTAAAGCAAAAATCCCAAAATAGGGAAAAGTAGAAA